GGTTTGGAAATAAACAACTTTTAGCGGTTATGAATTATTTAGCACGTTCCGTGCCATTTCTGGTACACGCGGAATTTTTGTAAGGAAACACTTTTTGCGAGACGTGTGTCGAAAAATGGCGATACATATCGTAAAGTAGCGAAAACGCTAAGAAAGATATCAAAATATATATAAAAGTCACCAAAAACTTGAATGTAACTTAACACTAGGTTTACGGACGTTTATTGTACAATTTTTTCTATTGTTCCTCGAAAAATTGATGTTCGTTGATTCAGATCTAGGAAATTAGTGATTTAAAACTAGACAATTAGAATACGTATTCGTGTAATTGCGTCAATAAAAGTCCACGCGAACATTTATCAATTAATTTTTGTTAAAATCAATATGCGTATTTTAATTTATTATTAACATTTTACATCGATTATTCTCATTCGTCTCGCCATTCTTGTACAACTGGACTCGATGAAACTACTTGATCATTAATAAATTAAAGAAAATAATTGGATGGTTTGTCTGCGTTTACTCTAAAAAATAAAGATTGTTAATAGAGAAGTAATATTTCTTTTATATGAAAACTAGATACATAACATTCGATTTTGTTTAAATTTGTCTATATTTCCTATTAAATAATTAATTATTATTATTATAAATGAATTATAATTGAATGCAATATAGTATTATCTTTAACCGTAAGTTTTTGTTCGAATAAAATCTCACTCGGCACTGATAATTATAATCGTTTACTTTCACTTCTTCGTTTTCTCATTTTGTAATTCAACGTGTAGTAAAGACGTGTTATAATTAATATTAAATATTTCCATGCATGTTATTCCTTGAGTTTAATTACTACATTTAATTAGGGTTTACATCCTTTAATGAGGTTCGTGAATCAGCTTTCGTACATGTTACGTTTTGAAATTTATTATTAAAGCGTACTGCACGTAATTGTGCACTGTATTTTATGTCCCTTATAATTTTACGGACGTACGGTAATATATACGGCTATTTTCTATGACCTGCATCAAACTGCTACGGTTATCGAAAGATTCAGTGTTAGTCATTAATTTTATTCTTCCTTTATACAGATACGCGTGTGGTTATAATTTTCGAAACTATTATACTCAAGCATCCGATCAACATAATCCTTTCAGTCTATTTATGTGTCATTCTTCGTTTCATATATATTCAAAGTTAAACTTTCTATTACAATTAATTAACATCAGATTTATTCGAATGGTCTATTTCGTTAAAAAAATGTTCTCCTTGCAGATTTCCAATTTCACAGGGTTAAATAGTTAACCATTTGAGTGCCAAGCGGCGCGATCGCACTTCTCCGCTAGGCTGTCTAAAAATGCCACTCTATCGGTTTGTAGAATCAAATTAACTTTATTTATTCGTCTTCCTTTTAATTATTTATTTTTTTGTTATTACCTGCTTAGTAATGGAAGAACGGAACGATCGCGCTATTTACAATCTTTGCACGTAAAAATAGAAAAGCGTAATTCAGTCTCTGAACTGAAACGAAAGAAGCGCGATCGCCCTGCTTGGCACTTTTCGATCGGTTTTTTGTGAAGACCCGTGGCACTCAAACGGTTAAATAGACGAATTACCTCTGTAAATATGCTATTAAATTTATTGTGCAAATATCTTGCGAATTTCACTGAATTGTTCGTTTAAATAGATAGTAGGTCGTTCGTGGAATACCATATCGTTTGCTTACCTTATAATAGATTTTATTTATCCGAGGCCAGTAGTAATTTCCCACTTTGGTCTTGTTACGCAACAGTATTATCCCGCTCGGTGTCAGGCCCAAAAAGTATTCCACACTGTCCTCACCCTAAGGATAAAAACTTCCAGAGATTTCTGTGATACGATCGCGATGGTTATAACGTTTTCTTTTAAAATGAGAAACTTACCAATACGGGATGCAAATCGACCCCATACATTTCGAGCCATTTTACCTTGTCGAGATAATTCAGCTCTGCTGCAGAGGGTAATTGTCCTCTGAAAAGATCAATCTTATGATAATGCATCATTTAAATTCCTTGCGTAATGATTATACCGAGCTCTAAATACTTGTATAAAACACTGAGCCAGTAAATTATTTAAATCATTCAAAGTATCATTAACGTTTAATGCTGCCATTTCTTTCGAAAATTGAATAACGAATACTTAATTACATTAATTATGTTCAATAAATGTTCATGTTATATTTAACACAATGTCTATTATCGATAAAAGTAAAGGAACATTTAATTTTCTGTTTTTCGTTTAATTTATAGACTATTGTTTATGGTAAACCTAAAGATTACAATGAAGGTAATATTTTATTAACAACCACGACAACTTACACAAGAGTTTTATGAAGTTCCACTATACGGTTCTCCAATTCTGTAGTCTGATTGGCTAAGAATCGAAATTCGGTAACGTAGCCTAAGGAATGTCGTCTTGGATCGTAGTCTCCCAGTTCCGCTGAAACAACAAGAAAGTAAAGCTTATGATTTCTATACATTTTGTAATCAGCGTACAATTTTCTGTGAAGCCTTCAATTGACTCATCAGACTCTCGAATGTCACTCCGAGAAATTAAAATGAAATCAGATAAAATTATTGTGATAATTGTGTCTAAAATTATTTAACCCTTTGAGTGCTGGATACTCTTGGCCGAAACGTTCCACGTGGACGGAATATTTTGTTGCTCATCTAAAGATCGATGAATTATATTAATCCGTTACTTTAGCAATTAAATTGAATGCCTGAAATTTCTCTATAGAAACTCCAAGTCTACATATATTGAAACTTTATACGTAGACTTACAATTGCCAGATCAATTTCTTTAATAATTTCTCAGAACATCTGTTATCTTTTTAATAATTGCAGAAAGAAGAAATCAGGAATAAGTCATTATGACCCGTCTGATAGTTTTAGTGTTAAAGAGAATTTACAAACGTAAATATTACTCGATTCTTTTCAATTCGAATTGAGTATTCTTCTTTTGTTATCAATTATACTTCTGAGTAAAGATCGATATAGATATTGCTTAGAACTTTTTTCTTTTTTTTAATAAATTGTTAATGGCAAACTATATGTATCGATATACTAGTTGTATCAATTATACTTGAGAAATAAATCATAGAGCAAGGGGTTAATTCGTACAATCAAATAAATTGTAATTAAAATGAAATGGTACTGCCTCAGCTTTATCAAATTAAATGATGCCAAGAAACGCGTATATTCAGGTGTTATAAATAATCAAAATATAAATTTCTTTTCAAAATAAAATTTACAAGAATTTATTTCGCGAATATTTAAAATTGGTAAAGTAATTAAAATTAAAATTGATATTAATAAAAAATCACATACACTTAGCATTGTCACGACGGCACGTGTGACATTAAAAAGATCGAAAAATCCATATATGCGTCCACAGTCCACAGTGATGGCTTCCGACGAACGCATATATGCGCCCACAGCACTCAAAGAGTTAACGATCTAGAATTATTTTAAGTTTGCCCATCATTTCACATAAATAAATAAAAACAACGAACAGAAATTAATTAACTTCAAAGGACCGACGTATCATTTAACGCGTCAAATGAGAATATGATAACGACAACAATGATGGAAGTAATTAAATGGTTTTTGTCACGATATACTCGACGTTCAGCCTAATAAGCAAAAGTGCTTTTCCGTGTATTTATATTAATCCACTAAGGCTTAACATCTTTACATGTATTTCATATTTTACATTTACTTTCACAACAATATTAACGATATAAAGAAAAATGCGTACAGTGTGATTTCAATTTCAATTTCAAAAGGATCAATGAAGACGTAGACTCCGTATAATAATTAATTAGCAGAACAAAAACGGCAGGGATTACGTTTTATAATCCGGATAAACCGGAAATCCAGATTAACGGAGCTCTACTGTACAGATACTACGCATTTCGATGAAATCGCGAAGCGAAGTAAAACACGATAAATCAGAGAATCGAAATAATATCCGGTGCAACGGAATCGAGACTTGGACGGACAATTAACCCCTTGCCATACAGTATCGAGTCAGACTCGCGAGAAAGTTTTCAAAAGGAAGTTACAAAAATGAAATATCACTCGATTATTTTTTATTCAAATGAAACAGTACTTTTCTATTATTCATTGTTATGTTCTGAAGTAAAGGTGAATGAATGGTACAGATTCATTGGGAATTTTTCTTCGTTTTCTGGTAAATTATGAACTCCTCTTATAGTATTGTGTCGGACTCATGAAGGAAATTTTAAATAGAATTTAACAAACAAATATTATTCAATTTGCTCGAATACAAATTACATATTTTTCGTGTTGTTGGAATTTTCTCTTAGTTTCAATACATTATTAATAGCAAAGTAGTTAGATCGATCACAATTGAGAAAGAAATCATTGGGGAAGCGGATAAATGAAACTATTCATTTTCAAAATCATTTCAGATATAAAACAGTTGAAAAACATCAATAATACCGAAATAATAAAACTAAGTGAATAATTCCGAAATAATAAAACTAAGTGAATAATTCCGAAATAATAAAACTAAGTGAATAATTCCGAAATAATAAAACTAAGTGAATAATTCCGAAATAATAAAACTAAGTGAATAATTCCGAAATAATAAAGCAACGGTAGTTCATGTGTTAAAGACAAAGTAATCCTAGCAGTCGCGGTTACCAAAGAAATCACAGAGCAAGGGGTTAATCGTATCCAGTGCTAGCGAAGGATTCCCCGATTGTTGGAAATTCGGTTCTTTCATGTTATCCTCGAGTTTTCCGGTCTGCTTCCCCGCCGCCCCTGTTACCGTCAATTCCCATAGGGTGCACGGACAGAAATGCCCTCCAGAAATCATCCTAGTCGGTTAATTGAATCACCGACTTTGATGAATATCTGGCCCGACCGGCGCGGCGACGGCGGCAAGGGCATTTTATTTTCTTGCTGCTTCTCATTCCGGCCATCCACCATGGAAAGAAGCCGGCACCTTGTCGACGCCGGCTTCTTGTATGCTCATTCGGTCGTGTAATTACGAGACCGCCGGTCGGAGACCGCGAAACGATCGGTCGAACCGCGTTCTGCACGAATCGCGTTTATCGGTCCTCGAAGCTCTCGCTTCGTTGAAAGGGGAACTGGTAGAAATCGAATCGTTATGCACGGAAAAATGTCCACGTATGCAGTTGATCGTTCGAGTAAAATCGTCCCTTCGAGTGTTGCGTCGTTATGCGGGAAATTGTATATTTTCTACGTTTTCAACCCCTCGCCTTGTAATTTCTTCCTGAACCCTTTCAAGTAGGATTTTTTAAAAAAGTTTTTACTCGGTTATTATATTGTACTTTAACCTTTTGCCCTATTTTTTAATTATGGTCGATACAACTACTTTATCGTTAATAATTGATTAGTAAAAGAAGATTTATATGCTTATTCTACGTCTATGTTTACTCCAAGGTTAACGATCGATAATAGAAAAGTAATATTTAATTTATATTTGAAAACAATAAATGGTACTTAGACTTCTCAAATTCAACTGCAAATTTTCGTCACGAGTTTGATATGATATTGTGGGTTGAAGGATTAATATATAACGTAGGTTAGCTTGTATGTTATAAAAAGTGTTTGGTTCTGATAAAACGGATTGGAGTATTTTTAAAGTGTACTCGTAAGACTGGATTTTGATATATATTTTGTATATGTTTATAGAAAATTAAATTGTTGATTCGATATTAGGTACAAAGCAGTGTCAAGTATTTTGAAATGCTTAGCGTGAGTTGTAAATGATTTGTTAAAGAAATGTTATTGATGGGAAATGTTGGAATATATAGGTGGTCTTTAAGGGGACAGTCTAACGAGAAAGAAATGGTATAGGGGAATACAAGTCGATCGATAGAAGCCGTATAGTCAAGAAATACAGGAAAGACGTGCAGCCGGATACGTTATGTTGTATTATAGTACAATAAAAGAAGATACAATAGTGCTGAATCTATAACAGACGAATTTACTTCAACGAGAATTTTTAATTTAAAATTTTATAATTTTGTAGTATTTCTCAATTTATGATTTTACATTTTATAAAATTTATAGTTTATCGTTCTATATTTCATAAAATTTGTAATTTGTCGATTTATATTTCATAAAATTTATAATTTTTCATTTTATATTTCACAAAATTTATAATTTGTCGGTTTATATTTCACAAAATTTCAACAAATTTATTTATAATTTTAGAAATTTTAGAAATTTGCATAAAACTCCGCTATGAAAAATTCAAACCTTATGAACAAAAAATATAAAGAGCTACTTCATACGACGTCAGTATTAATATTCTCTGTAGATCGATTGAGAGGGTAGAAATGAAGAACATAAAACACGGTTCCGCATATTTATCAAGTCACAAGCAGAAAACCAGCCCTTTGATGTACGAAATAATTATGATTATGTCTCGTGAAAGGATTTATTAAGCTGTTTAAATTACATTTCGCCGATTGTATTATTGCAAGTCTTATATTTCTGTCCTTCAGCCGTTGTGAACTTCCTTCTATACTCTCTTTTCCCATGTTTGCAATCATAAAAATAATAGGATCTATCGAATCCTCGGTCTGGATGCAATTGTCCAGGGTAATATCGCGAATTACTAAAATTTCCTGAAGCGGAAAACGTGAAGAATTGGTCTGATCATGATGCTTCGATGTTTTCTTCCGTTTGTTTCCGTTATCTTCGTCAGACTTACCTAGACTCGCTACAGCACTATCGATTTCAACAGTGAACTTGTACAAACTATTCTCTTTTATAGAATATAGATTATTTACTGTTTTGCAAAGTTAGTAAAGAACTTTCGAACAAATTATTTAGGAGAAGAATAGACTAAGTTATAAATAAAATGTTTTTAAAGTGCCAAATGATTTTACAACGATATCCCATTAAATAGAACCATACGATTAGCTTTAAACAGTGCATATAAATTGTATAATTGAATTTTATATTTAAGTCATATCACATATTGGACAAAATTTAACTTGAGCCCTTCAGATTGATGAAATTTGAAAGATTGAAGTAGATTAAGTAGTTCAGGTAATGTTCTAAAAAGTGAAAAGCTTCAAATGTATAATTCAATTATTTAAATAACAAAATATTGATACATAGCTTTCTTCTTTCCTACTATTTAACTAAATAATTCATATTTTCTCGCAAAGAATTTACAAAAGTTTAAAAGATTCTCGTAAAATAAAAATATTACAAATTCTAAAAAACACAAAGGTAGCTCACGAATTAATATTAAAACTTCTTATTAAATGGTTATAATTTTCTATCAAAAATAATACCGCTTCATTTCCTCTCGTGAAATAACGTTCCATAAATGTAAAAATCTTTTTATGAATCAACCCCTGGACTCCATAGACCAGCAGAGACCGTACTTACAAGGGTAGCTTTTCAACCAGCACTCGCCGATTTTGA